GATAAAAATGCCAGATTTAAATGGACGTACCACTCAAAGGTCCTTTTCAATCTTTCAATTTGCTTTTTTAACCGATATCAAAACTGACTTGGAAAAGCGGAAGTGAAGTGAGGGAACACCAATTACAGAAAATCAAACCACTTTCAGGTATGCTTTTATCGAACGAACGCTTGAATATCGAATTTATTGGGATTCACAAAACAATTACCGGCTTCATCCCCCTTCCCGATTCTATCAATTATCCGAACTTCATGATGGTGATGTTGAATAGTAGTAGGGGTGAGGTAGGTGAGCGAGGAGGGATAGCTTGATCATTATTGCCCGGGGATTTTAACCGTGAATCGTGGTAAAAGAAAAAAAAAGGAAAAAAAAAAAATATTGGATGGTGCTACACGTTATCCATGAGAGAATAAGAGAACGAGTGAGAGAAAGATAATAAGCGATCTCGAAGCGTCGTCGTCACTATAGCGTCGTTTGTTATTAAAGGGAAAGGATCCTAAGCGTAAGATCTACTCTTTGACGTCGTAATTTTCCGAGTCGCTGCGTTCGCACGATGTACACTTATACAAAGATAAACGTATACGAACATACTTGGAAAACGATCTCGTATAACATGGCGCTTCTATTTTTCGCGAGAACAGGATTTTTATTCCCATACCAATGACCTTTTCCTTGACGCTAACGAACCCCTCGTTAACCATTTCCCTTATTATCCTATGGTTAACTCGACTTCATCATTTTCCTACGTTATTATGAACTCTACCGAGTTATCTCGATCTAATCTTTCTTTTTTTTTTCACGTTGAACTACGTCAAGAGAAATTGGTTTTATTTTTTCTTTTTTTTTTTTTTTTTTTTATTTTTTCTTTTTCTTACTTCGATCCTCTTTACAAATAAAATATCGACGATTCGTACGTTTGATAGCTCGAACAAGCTCGTCAGCTGTTTATGCCAGTTAGAAGTTTGAAAGTGAAGGTGCTTATTACCTAGCCGGAAACCGATTAACTCATGCATGTCCAATGCACCTGTTAAAAATTATAAAAGTGATTTCAATCTTTCGATATTTTATTACGAAACGAGTTATTTATTTATATTAGCTATTGTATGGAATGTCGTACCGCGGAGCTATATAGAAAGATTGAAAATTGGATAACGATGAGTAATCAATAATATGACGACAATAAAACCTAATTAACATCACTGATTTCTCTATGCACATTACAATTATCTTTCTCATTCATCTGACAATATCTTATATTTTTCTTTATTCACAATATTACTTATTAACTTGTTTCTTAGGAGGGAAAAAAGAAAAACCTGATTCAATAATGAATTATCTTTCAACAATCTGACATTATTGTAACTCTACATATATTTATTATTATAGTTTTCCTTTAAATAATATCCCATGATTTTTTCTTTTCTTTTTTAATACTCCTGTACTGTCGGGCGCGATAAATAACATTCGACATGTACCTGATCAAATCGTCTTGTCCACGCGGAGCAATTAGAAAGCCATTACTTTTCGATCATGCGCAATGAAGCATGCCTGGTGCAGGGTAGAAAAGCGGTAAGCTTCCCACAGAGTTTCTACACCTTTTGAAGAAAAGGATATCCGAGGGTTAGAGATGGATGTCCGGCGATCAGGTGCAGTGAGATACCCACTGACTTTGAATTCGTCGCCAGTAGAGACCGACGTATCTTCTCTCATTCTCTCTTTCTCTCTTTCGTTGACGTCGAGTTGTCATCGTGCCGATACTCGGACACCCGCTGTTTCGTTTTCGTGTTTGGAAAGAGCGTGGATAAACGACACTCGAAGGGGAGTCCAAAATTCGATGTTAAGAATTTTCTGGCATAAAGATAAAACGGGTAATAATGTTAAAGAAATATCGATATACTTGTTTTATCTTCGTCCATCGAAATATTTTTTTTCTTTTTAAATGTAAATATACAAAGGGGTAGGTATGAATTAAAAAAAAAAAAAAAAAAAAAAAAAAAAAAAAAAAAAAAAAAAAGAAATAAATAAATGAACGAATAAATGTATTAAATAAATAAATCGATAAATAAATCAATAAATAAATCAAAGAACAATATAAGGAAAGAACAATTAACATTTTCATCTTACGTATCTTTTAAAATCTTTAAACGTCCTGGAGATCGTAAAACAGAGGATGAAATAGCAAATGACTGACAATGGGATCTACTCGCATGAGAAATGTGTGTTCGCTCCCTTTGTGAAAGCGCGGTTCTGTGTCGGTCGCGTTAAACTTCAGCGTATCCATTCGACTCTATCCCCACGTACACGTTCATTTCCGAGAAGTTAATATTCAAAATGAACATCGGCGATCCAAGTTCGGTCGCGCTGCCGTTAATCTTCGATGGCATATGGGAGTAGAGCTCGCTTTATTGCGTCCGCGTTAATTATGCAAACGAATAATTAATATTTCGATTACTTCGATGACATCCTACGCCTACGCAGGAATGATGATACCTATTTATTATTCGTATGAGGATATTGTTGGAATTTGATACAATAGATAGGGGAAGAAAATGAGAAGAGAGAGAGAGAGAGAGAGAGAGAGAGAGAGAGAGAGATGATACAAAGGAGTCTTGATCATAAAGCAATAATAGTTAAAAACTTGAAAAAATAAAGGCAAGGAAATAACGTACAATTAATAATCGATAATAGATAATTGTAAAATGAGATCACAATTATTAAAAAAAAAAAAAAGAAAAAGAAATTTATTGATGCTATTAATAATTTTACTAATCTATTAAATTAATTAATAATTCATACAATTTCATTATATTTCTTTACATTGCACGACGATCCTTCTAACTATTATTTTTTATTATTTCATTACACGATTCGTATAAAGAGAAAAAAAAAATTGATGGCACTTATGGAATAATTCGGTACTTCCGCTTACTCTTATTCTTACTCTCACTCACTCTCTCTCTCTCTCTCTCTCTCTCTCTCTCTCTCTCCCTTTCTCTTTCCCTCTTTCTCTCTAATTCCTTTCTTTATTCTCGATGAGTTTCAACTACGTGAGAAAGAGTGAGAAAGAAAAAAAAAAGGAAAAAAAAAGGGAAAGAAAGAGAAAGATAAGAAATTGTCGAGAGGCTATAAAGGATCGTTCGCGAGGACTCCGCTCGTTGTTGCGCGGATTAATAATAACTAGATGATAATTTACGACGGCAGTCTTTCGACGGGCCAGTCCTCAGGCAGGTAAGACTTTCTGATGGGGACTGAGAGTCCAAGAGACGTCGTAAAACTCGTACACCGTCTTTCTTTCATAATGAAGATATTATACGGAACCAAGAGTGAAGAATCTCTCGAAGAATATTCGCTCGTAATCAAGATGAGTATCGCATTGACTCTCATTCTTGGATCAATTTGCGACTAAGCGGTGGATCACGATCTTCCACCTCTACCTTTTTGGATAACGAATGGCTAGCTCATCGTGATGATTAACTCGCTTAAATTTACCTTTCAAAAAGAAAAAAATAAAAGAGGGAAGTATCTTTTCCCTATGGGAAAAAAAGAAAAAAAAAAATAGGATCTACACGACGAAAGGATTGTTCTTCCTATCGCAAAAATAAACTGTTAGACTTATGAATATATTCATGATATTTTCATCAATATTCAAGATCTATTTTTCCTATCGTTCGTGTATCCCATCCGAAATCACGAATATAACATGGATCATATTTGTGGCTGGATCTCTCCGATTTATCAAAATGTAATGCCACAGTTATATAACGTCGTTAGAAGTTATTCACTTATTTATTCGTTTATGTAAGATCTTTCTACGAGATAATATTAATATATCAATTTCTAATTCACGTTTCGACTTCTTATTCCGAATATTTAGTCTAGTTGGAATAGATAGTTGAAAATTCAAGGGTAACTTAAAGATACTAATCCAATAAGTTTCTTTGGATTATCCCAAGGAGCCGTCTGAATGAAGTAAAAAAGATCATTCGGAATGTCAAACGAAGTAATCCGTTTAGCCGTGCGATCCGATCAAGGCTGAGATCGTGAAGAAACTCAAGGAAAATTCAAAGGTTCTTTTCTCGAAGTACCACTATCACTTCTATCGTCCTAGAAAATCGTCAGGCTCACATCCGGAGATACGCGATACGCTTGGAGCATTTCCAGTTCTCACCACGGTCTATCTCTTTCTCTCTCTCTCTCTCTCTCTCTCTCTTCCTTTTCCGTTTCGCATTCGTCATTGCCTGTTGCGTTATTTTGCCCGTCTGGCGGTATACCTACACTTCCGCGGGAAAGCAAGAATAATATCCATCTTTAGGGGAGAAAGATTTAAAGGAGGGTATACACGTTATGTCCTACAGCTCGTTTCTCACTAATAGATGGCCTCTTCCTTTTCCACATGACCTCACCGATTTCTCTAGTAGCAGGAAATTAGCAAGTCTTAGGAACAGATCCAAACTACTAATCGCCAATGTGCTTCTCCCTCTACGATCCCTCTGGGACACCTCGACTGGCTTTTCCAAACAAACTCCATTTCCCTTTCCTTCTTTCTTTTTCTGACTTTCTTCTTCCGTCTCTCCTCAATCACCTTCTGCCATGAAGGGTGACTCGTGGGATACTTTAATCTTATCCAACTCATAAAATTGTCGCTTTATCAGAACGAACGGTTTCTTCATCGGAGCATTAAAATATACGTTTGGTTATTTCGTGGCACTTTCGATGAATTTCAAAATCGAAGGATTAAGGGAATATTATTTTATAACTTGGGATTATACGAATTTATGAGGAAGGATTTTAGTAGGAATCCGTAGACTGAATTTTTTGCAAACTCGTTAACAGGAAAAAGTATAACTTTTATCGTATTTTCCATTCCAAAAAGTAATCACTATGAAAGATAATAATAACGAAGCCTTAAACGATTCTAAGAATTTTTTTCTTTCTTTTTTTTCGTTTTTTCAATTATCACTCGTAGCACTTTCATTTCTAACGCAATTCTTTATGCTCACCTTGTTAATTGTTATCCACATGAGCCGTCAGCAAAAGTACGCGTAACACACACGATTGGACACGAACTTGTAGATCATCGAGAACACACGAGTGTTATCTTTTATTTGTTTATCTTTCCTTTCTCTCCCTTTTGTTCGACGTAATGTAAGAAAAAAAAAAACAAAAAAAAAAAATTCACTTTCTGCAAGTAAAATAAAACACTCAAGCTAATCACAATTATTCTTTTTATTACACTGGTCGAAGTTCTTCCAAAAAAAGATAACTGCACACAGTATTAGCTTGTTCTCCATATGTAGTTTTCTAAATTGTTAGAAAAATAAATCTCACGGTGCGATAATCTTGGCTGTTATTTGTTTGTTTTTTTTCTTTTCTTTTTTTTTCTTTTTCTTTTTCTTTTTCTTTTTTTCCCTTCTTCGAGCAGCTGTCCCTTTCCCCTTCCACCGATTTTTTTCTTTTTTGTAAATATTTCTACGACGGCGCGACGGCACGAGATCGAAGATCAACGCGAAGGAAGAAGAAAGATTAGAAAGAATGACACGCAAAAGGTCACCGTACCGTCACGGCGCCACGGCACTAACTGACAGCCCGTCGAGAATCTCCGGTTGGTCGAAGCGACCTCGGAGGAGAGACTCGTGCCGCGAGGAGTAGGGATAACGCCAGTAGAGGGGAGCAAACCTCACTCTCTGGCACGAGACCCTCTCTTTTTCTCTCTTTAACGCACGCATACAAACGGACACATCAATTTCATCGCGTACTTTATAAATCTAAAAAATAAATATTGTATAATCATAAACATTTTTTCTCTTTTTTTTTTTTTTTTTTTTTAATAATATTAATGCACCTTTATCATAATATCTATTACTTTTACTCGTAATATTTTACATATTTTATTATTATTTTTATTATTAATATTATCATTATTGTTATTACAATTATCGTCAGTAAGATCGACATTATTATTATTATTATTATTATTATTATTATTATTATTATTATTATTATTATTATTATTATTATTATTTTTATTATTTTATTATTATTTATTATCCGTTCATTAATTTTATATCATACAGATTAATAAGCTTCCATTTCTCACTCTATTCTACCTCGCTCACTTTTCTTTTTTCTTCGGTTTTTATCTTTCTCTGGCATCGGCAAACGACACTCCACAGCATCATCCCCTCTACTCGACATTTCTCCAACTGTCCGTCCGAGGATAGAGGGGTGGAAGTGAGCACGTGGGCACAGGACGTATAGAAAGGGAATGGAGAAGAGGCGACGAGGGAGAAGTACGACCCGAAATGGGGTGAGGTTGCAAAATATGTTGTAGAAATGGGGTGGCCGATGAATGCGGTCGCCCGTAGACTAGGGATTTTATTGATCTTTTTTCCACCCCAGGAGAGCGTATACGCGCGCCCGCTTAATTAAGCGACCGCTGGCACGAGACGAACCTCTCCCACCTTCTTTCGCTCCTTCGAATTTTGAGAACGCGTTCTGAGGTTATGTAAATTTTTCAAATATTTATATATTTAATTAAAAATATTTTCTAAAATATCTCCGTAACTTCGAAGACAATTAATTAATTATAATCAACTTTTACAATGCAATTGTAAAATTCTAAATAAAAAAAAAAAGGCCAACATTTATGTTTTTAAAGTAATATTTTACAAATGCATGATTCATAATTTCTACCAACAGGTATACAATTTCCTATAAAAATAATTCGAAATTTCTTTATTTCTTTCAGTCAGACTACATGTAATCAGATATTCTTTTTAATCTCACTTGTTCGATATCTGTTTTTCGTCTCTTCTATTCCCATCAGACTCAGGGTAGAGAGAACTTTTTCCTTTTTTTTTTTTTTATCGTATACGCAATTCTTGTTTTGTAATTTCTACTCATGATTCGTTCGTCTAATTTTACCTATGACGTTAACAAAGCAACGTCCAAGTTAACAAAAGTTAACGAGTTTTTTCATTCGAATTACAATCCATGAAACATGTTCTATGGAACATTGGCAAGAAGTCTGACTATGCTTTTAGTAGGAGTGCCGAAGTAACGATAAATATCGGCAAGTGTGAAGTCAATGGAGAAAAATGACAACCCGTTGGTTCTTAATATTTATCAGTTTGTCGTATCCCCTAGGCACATAAGGATAGCTCGGTATACACTGGGTGCCATAAACATTAATCCGAATGTTGGATGGTATATAACAGCTCGACGCGATCGAACGATTCGATGCTTCGAAGTGACGAGCCGCGATATCTCACGATTTTCGCGACTTACCAACTTCGCTCTCTCGCTTTCAACGATATAATGATAAATCATGCTGAGAAGAACTCGATTAATGTCGGTGGATGACCGGATAACACTTTTTCAATCAATATTACTATCGTTAGTAATGTAATTTCTGTTGAGACAAAGTGAATACAAAAATAATCTCGATTTGATTACATTTTTTTTTTTTTGACTTTACGACGATCAATACAATTTATTATTTTTATAGTAGGCACAGATGTATACTTTATTTCATTGACATCAATAGTCTTAGCTATTACAAAAATATTCGACATGGTAATATTGAAAAATATACCTCTGTAAGCTTTTGCGGTGGGATCAATGAAAATAAGGAAAGACAAAAGTCAAGACAAGTTTTTCATCTCAAAGTATCCTAGAGTAAGTTCCTTCTGAACTTTGCAAATGCAACTCCGACCTTCTTTCATCCTTCGTCTTCTCGTTATAACACTCGATTTTTATCTTCATCGTCTCTTTGACTTTGACTTTGTCTTTGTCATTTCCTTTTTTTCTTTTTTTTTTCTTTCTTCCTTTTTTATCTTTCTCATTGATGAAATACTCTTGGATTCGACGCAAACGGTGCCTAAAGGAAACCTCAGATCTCTCTATCTCTCTTTCAAGGCCACAGACAAGAGATCTAATATACCCGTCGGTTACATTAGCCGGATTTAATTTAAGTCTCGAACAGAGCCTCGTAGGTATACGTTTATCTTACCCACCGTAGGCGAGAACACGTCGAACGAAGAGAAAGAGGCTGCATAAGAGGGTAAAAGGTGAAGGTGTAGAGTTGGGGTGAAATAAGGGAAGAGAAAACGGAAGTTGGTAGCAAAGGTAGCAAAACGACGCTGCTTTATCGTAATCGTAGTACTCGTGTTACGGCACGACAAAGAAAGAGAAAGAGAAAGAGAGAGAGAGAGAGAGGAAGAGAGAATGAGAGAGAAAGAGAGAGAGAGGAAGAGAGAATGAGAGAGAAAGAGAGAGAGAGAGAGGGTATGTGAGTTCTATGACCAACCGCAAATTCGCCAACGTCGGACCACTTTGCGGCTCTGCCATGACGTAGGTTTCATCAACCGACAGCCTCATTAACGACAGAAACCGACACAGCAACGGTACACTCGAGAAATTTTGCTCTTTCGTAAAATTTAACGCCTTCCACTTCGACCGCGAGTAATGACTAGTAAAAAAAAAAAAAAAAAAAGAAAAAGAAAAAAAAAATAAGAAAAAGGAAACCGAAAAAGAAATTATTTTTAATTACTTTCATGATTTAGTTTGGCTCACGTTACATCCTTTATTTCGTGAATTTTCTTTCTTGTTAATTTATCAAACAGTAGCAAGTGAGATTTACACGTGAAGTGAACTTCGGAAAAAAAAAAGAAAAAAAAGAATACTTGAAAAATAGTCAACAGGATCGTAAAAGAATTCGAGAACAATTCTTTCGACATTTCTTTTTGAAAATAGATAACCTTTCTTCATTACTTTATCGTCTCATCCATAAATCTTCCATGGTTGAAGATGGCAAAGAAAATGTTGTCATTCTTCGTAAAGTTCACTGGGTCACTGTGTCGTCCTAACGTCGTCGCTAGTTTTCGCAAATCTCGATATCTCCATTCTTTCATCGCAAAGGAACCTTTCTTGAACGGGTCACGTTCCAGCTATAAAGAGATGGCAGGAGAGAAATCGGTTGTGCCTTAACGGTGAAGAGATTTTATGATGGACCAAACACGCTGGCTGAGCTTGTACGCAAAGATCGTTCCATTATCTTTTACTTGAAATTGTTAACACGTAGGCTACAAAATGGTAGCTTTTCGACTACCTATGTCATATTAAACCGTACAAGCAGTTATGCTAACACCCCCTCCCCTCCTACCCCCAAGTGCACAACTTGTTTTATCGTTTAACAATACTCGTAAATCTTCTCCTTGCCAAGAAATAGGCAAAGGATGCTACAAAGGTAAACCGTATGGATTCTTTCATGGATCACCGAATTGAACAATGCTATTCTTGGTTTTTTCTTTTTCTTTCTTTTTTCTTTTTTTTTTTTTTTCAAAGAAAAGAAGTCTACGAATCTCCGAAGAAAAATTCTCCCGTAGATAATTGGCTTTTCTGGATGTTGAAAGTGTGTCAGTAGGACTGAACGTTCTGAAACGTTCATTGTTATACTCATGGCTTCCATTCATTGACATTCTTTAGTTTATCTTTTGAAAACGAACTAGTCGAATGTTTAAAACTTCGAATAGAGATACAATTCCAATATAGTAATATTGCAGTATCATTAAATGATTATTACTTTCTGCTTTCAACTTTTATATTTTAAGTATAATACATTACTTCTTCCTTTAATGGAACTTCATATCATTCAAATCTTTTTATCACCGATCTCTCGATGTTATCTTTCTTCTCAACCACAAGAAGTGAATTTGATTTGGTTTATAGTCTTGAACCATATAAGACGTGGAACGCTATTTACCGGCACTACACGAACCTAGATTTTATTGGAAAACGGAAATCTGCTCTCGTGTGGATGCCATGGAAAGAGGATTCGAATAAATTGCGCATCTTATGGAGCACTCCACCGGTGAAGATTCTACGAAAGAATTTATCCTTTAAATCTCTTTACGCATACCAAGAGAAAATTGGAAATATTACTAAATATCTTAACAAAAATTTTAGCAATAATAAACGAATTATATATCATACAATGGCTTTAAATCATTATAATCACGTAACAATGTTAACACTCGATAAGATTTAATTTTCCATAGATTTTTTTTTATTCTCATACCGACGCATTGAAAATGTTTCTCTTTTTTTTTTTTTCCATTATAAAAATATTATGTTATATTTTTGCAATCGACCATGCAACATATTGACAGATGTAACTTAAGGAAGAGAAAGAGAGACAGGCAAATAGACGTGGTAATATTCGAGTGAAAGATTAGTCACTCCGGACTAGTTTCAGTTGGATAACAATGATAGGTTGTCCGGAATTTTGTTCGGAACTGACGTAAGTTACGACCGGCTGAGTATGGGCTACGAAAAGCATCGTTCACCGTGAAACTGGCCACGGTTGTTATTACGAATCAAGGCAAACCGGTGGCGTTAGAATTTAGCCGGAGGATCCTTTTCGGTTGGGGTCAGAACGTTATTTATTCGACAGAAAGGTTCTCGTACTCTCGTCTCTCCGAACATCGACGACATTGCTAACTAGATTTCACGGTGATACATATCCGGGACGTCCGATAGCCATGCCAATTATCACGATTG